TCTCAATTTTATATTTTTGAATACGTTTTTAAATTGGCTTAATATTTTTGTATAAACTTTTGAAATTATTGAATATATTGAAAATATATTTATATATGTTTTATGTATTATATATATATATATGTATACATGTTTTAATATATTCTAATGTTTTGAAAAAAATATTGTAAACATTATGCAAAATATTAAATGAGTTTAAAAGCTTATACAAAAAAATATTAAATTGAGGCCATAGATTAAGTTGTTTCCATCATTCCACTACACTCAACATTCACGCTCCTATTATATCTTCATATTCACTGTATAAATCATAGCTATCAAATCACATGTATTTGAAAAATGGTGAAACACATAAGCAGGTGTAATGTGCCCAATGTGAGGTTATTACAAAACGTTTATACTGGATTATGTTAATTTATTTATTGGATTTGAAACCGAATGTCACTTTATGATATTTTGTATTATGAAGAAAAATAAAAGATATCAGTTTAGCAATATCTTCTTCGAAGGGTGGACCCCAGCCTACATTTTCTCCCCCAAAAGTTACTCCCAATACAATGCTATTCACACTAAGATGGATATGGCTGAACTTGAGATTATCAGAAAAAAAGTATTTTACTACTTGCGGTATTTTTATCCCCCCTGTCTCTCATTCATAATAAGTGATCTTACACGTACATTTGATAATATGTGCACCTCAAACATTGAGTTATGTTGCATTAACCTGGTAAGTAGTTTTACAAGCAGTATTATATTCTTGGAAGTTATAATAATATTAATGTTGTCTGGTTTCCCTAGCACCATTTACCTCCAGTAATTAAGATATTAATAAATGTCCTCCTGCAGTCTATGCTGGATGATGTGGCAGGTAAACTATAAACCACCTTACAACAAGCAATGGGGGAAATTAGGAAAGAACTGCAAGATCTAGGATCCAGGACCTCTCACATAGAGGCTAAGATCAAGGAGTTCCCTAATGCTTACAACAGCCTTGCCAACTGCACTGAGCAGGTAGAGGTCCAATTAGAAAGATATAAACTGGCAGATCCTGAAGTCCCTGATGTTCCAACTGATATTCTTCTTATTAACAGGGCCATTGGAGTTCCTAAGTCAAAGCATCTTCCCAGCACTGCACACAGGGATATCCTAACGGGCCTCCACTATTTCCATATTAAGGAACAAATTATGCAGAATAGCAGGAAAGCAAAAGACCTTGGACCTAACCTATGAACCTGTGGTGAAGATCTGTCACGAGTACTGTATCTTGTAATACATTCCCACATACACAACAACCCTAACCAGACTCTCATAATTTAAGTTTGCCTTCTGAGGACTCTATTGACACCATATGCCTAATGAGAGGTCTAGCCTCCATGGGAACACTTCATATGAATAAAAAAAACACAAAAAACAAAAACAAACAAACATAAAATAAATAAATAAAATAAACAATCAAACAAAAAACTATGATATACTTTTAACAACACATTTCTTACTCTAATATAGCCTTATTACCATATAATGTTGTAGAAATTAGCTTTTTACCATAGAATGGACTACTTATCAGCACGTACCAGAATGTTTAATGCGTTATGTTTCTCTTAGATAGGCTGTATGAGATATGTCGGTTGTGAATGGATATGTATACAGTTGAGCGTATGACATCAGCATTTATATTGTGTTGTGAGACAGTCAAAGTTCTAGAATTTTGTTTGCATGATGAGTTGAATGTTTTGCTAACCTTGTGAGGGTTCCCATAAATTAAAACTGTTGACTACCGAAAAAGGTGAACTGGCACTCGGGGGAGATAGGCTCACTCTCCTGTCTGGCGCTGTGACCCTGTCCCTTACCTCCCTACAGGTGGTATCCTGAGGGATACACGGTCCCAACTAAGGGATGTTTATTATTTTTAGTTATTTCATAGTTTCATTTTCATTCAGTTTTTCGGTGTCTTCATGAAATCTGACAAGCTTTTCCTCCCCTTTCCATGTCCCATCCTGCCAGAGGGGAGACCAATTGTCACTAACAACCAATCTGGATCCTCCAAGCTTCTCTTCTCTGAAAAGATAGACAATTAAGACACAGTGCGCACGTTTTAATCCAGCAGTCATACTGACCAGTATATCAATACAGTTCAGAAGACTCGTATTGAGTTGGGTAGACAGGCAAACAGTCCACACTAAAGTTTTACACGGTAGATCCATTAGCGTTGGTTTCCCCTATCATTTATATAATGCACATATAGTCATATGATGTTAGAGGTCTTTACACCCCAATAAAAAGATATTCCCTAGTGAAGAAACTCGATTCTACCCAGGTGACCATTGTGTATCTACAAGAAACACACTTTAAGAAAAACCATCAATTAACCTTACAATGTATCCCCTTCAATTCCATGCTCCTGCCCTCAATAGGAGCAAAGGGGTCTCAATATATATCAATAGACATTTAGCATTTGAACCCCTTAAACAGATAGTATACCCTGCAGGGAGATATCGCTCTTTACTTTGTTCTCTTAATGGCTCAATGTTCACTATAGTGAATGCATATTTTCTGAACTCCAATCAAAGAAATTACCTACATCCTAACCTGCTTAACTCCGGTACAACAATTAACTTATCTCTCACAATGGGTGAAATTAGAATCCTCCTGGGCTGACTTGTTTGGGGTACTTATACTGGAGAAGACTATCACAGAAAAGATGCTCCCTTCCACTCATTTGATGTTCCGCATATGGGATTATGATATTATATAGCCATGCCCTGTGGTCTGCAGCAGCTCTGCTGATCTCCATCGACATACAGAACCTGACTTTTAACTATCTACAATACTATCTCCAGATATGAAATTGAAAAATAATAGCATATCAGTGAATATAGATTTAAATAATCAAATATCCTTAAAGGGACACTATAGTCACCAGAAAACTACAGCTTATTGAATTTGTTTATATAAAAAAGAAATGTGCTCTCTATCTATAAGTGAGCTGCAATTCACCAACAAGGTGTTCCCCTGACCTTGTGAAAAACAAAACAGGTATATGAAAATAGAAAGGTGAACAGCGCTAACAGTATATAAAAAATATATATTACATACGTGGTAGAAGATACTTTTCAATGATATAGCTTAAAAAACAAAAAAACAGAAATAAAATAATAGTGCAATATATTTTAACAGCAGAATAGATATAGAAGGAATATATGATCCAAACTCACACTTTAAAGAGCTATATAAGCTCAATTGGAAGGGCCTGGACGGAATAATCCCCGTCTATGGATTTCTTGGTGTGAGATCTTCCTGGTAGGCTTTTAAAGGTGGACTTTCACAATATATTACACAGGAAAGAAAAAGAACACTAATAGTGTGAATAGTACATGTAAGTATATTGCAGGTAAAAATAATCCTACTTACATATACAAGAGCAATAGACCTGCTCTAGTGTGGACAGCTTCAGGTGGAACAATCCCCACCTATGGATATAAAGGACCCAAAAGTAGCAGCAGCAAGATGAAATGGGAAGTGGGACTGAAGAAGACTGGATTTACATAAAATGTAAATACTTTATTTAAATAAAAAGTGGAAAAAACAAATATAAATATATTTACAAAATACCAGTCTGGATAAAAAAGTCAGTTTTTCTTCCTCACTAGACGCGTTTCACGTGGCTTTTTCAAAAGTGGATACGTGCTGCAGGGGGTCCTCGAGGTTATAAACCTTCCATGATTGTAAAAACGAATTCCGGTGTATGTAGCTTGGGGATTATTCCGTCCAGGCCCTTCCAATTGAGCTTATATAGCTCTTTAAAGTGTGAGTTTGGATCATATATTCCTTCTATATCTATTCTGCTGTTAAAATATATTGCACTATTATTTTATTTCTGTTTTTTTTTGTTTTTTAAGCTATATCATTGAAAAGTATCTTCTACCACGTATGTAATATATATTTTTTATTGAATTTGTTCTGGTGAGTAGAATCATTACCTTTAGGCTTTTTGCTGTAAACACGGTGTTTTCAGAGAAAATGCAGTGTTTACATTACAGCCTAGTGATAACTTCACTGGCCACTCCTCAGATGGCCGTTAGGGATCCTTCCTGGGTCATGGCTGCCTAAAATGCATCCAAACATTCAGTGTCTCCTCCCTCTGCATGCAGACACTGAACTTTCCTCATAGAGATCCATTGATTCAATTCATCTCTATGAGGAGATGCTGATTGGCCAGGGCTGTGTTTGAATCATGCTGGCTCTGCCCTTGATCTGCCTCCTTGTCAGTCTCAGCCAATCCCATTGAGAAGCATTGTGATTGGATCGGGCTACCACTTCTGCTGATGTCAGCAGACTGCTTATTTTTTTTAGGCAAACAGCATGCAGATCTACAGCTTGTGGCTTGAATACAGTAAGGTTTTGCTATATTTATGGAGGCTAGATGGTGGTTTTAACACTATAGGGTCAGGAATACATGTTTGTGTTCCTGACCCTATAGTGATCCTTTAAACTTAGTACAAAACTATGACCTGTGCTGTATTGCAGGTACGTTAAACAACAGTTGAATCCTGTTGAATATGGGTAGACTACCTGACCAGCAGAGAGGAGAGAAACTAAAATTGGGGCATTTCCTTTCAGGAGCAGAAGAAATAAAGATAAGTGTTGGTTGGTTGTTTGACTCACCCTCCCACACATGCCCTTAAAGCTTTTCCTACTTTACCCCTTCTAGTTCACCATGTTCCCTTGTTCTATATATTTAAATTGATTGCTGGGTTTGCAGATCCAATAGCGATCTAGGTGTATCAAAGAGTGCTAAAGGTATCTTTGGCCATATGTTTATTGACTTTGTTAATGACATACATGAGACATTGTATAATGCATGTTTTTTATTTAAAATTTGTCCTAGATGTATTTACTATGTCTGTAAGTGTTGGAATGTACACCGTAAACATTTGTAATTTTTTGGATACTTGTAATCAAAATGATGTTTTTAAAATATTTTAAAAAAATGAGTGCAAAAAAAAAAGAAACAAAAACATGAAAGATCAATTAATGATAGTTCACCCTGGAATAAAAAGGATTGCCTATTCATATTTTAAGATTACTAGTTTTTTTTTCTTTTTTACTCTATGTGGGCCCGATGAGTTTTTTGTGCATTTTGTACACTTTGTTTACATTTTCTTTCTACACTAGGACATATTCATTCGTTTGTGGGGAACCTCTTTATTGGATTGCTATATGGTGACATGTGTGGTTCCATTCTGCTTACCCATATGCTACATTGGAACAATGAATGTAGCTTAGCAGTGCTTATCATTTATGGAACTACTCTATTAGACTCTTGGGCGAAACACTGCCTTTGATACAAACAAGATTGTTTATACTATATAACCTCTAAGAAATTAACTGTTCTCAGTGCTGTTCACATGGAACTTAAAATTAACTAAGGGATTTGGCTTATCATGTTTTTTTGTCCTCTTGTATTTAGATTTTTGACCAAAGAGATGAACTAAGAGTCTTCAGTAAAATGATAGAGGTTAAAGCACATGTCATACTTGACAGTCTGAATAATATTTAATGCTACATTGTGTTATTCTCACTGTGTATCGTACAGTTCCACAAACAAGTACATTTATTTATGTCGTTGCCAACAGATTTAATTTCATGCAGTATGTGGATACTATTGTCTGTTTGCTTTTTTTTAACTCTTTGTTTTTCTTGCTATGCTTTTTGCAACAGATTGTGATGCCTTTTGATTGACAGTTTTTCTTTTGTTTATGTTTGTGATTATGGTACTTTCCTGGTTGCGTAAACATGCATTTCGATTTTCTACACCTTTGGCATATCCTAATCTAATAAAAAATACTTTTTTCAGCATACATTTTTAAGTATGCAGATACTCTATGTTTTGTCATTTTATTTTTGGTATATGTGTGAATTTCGTAGTATATTACTATCTATATCCCAATGAGTCCTTAAAGCGGAACTGTGATCTTGTCTCTCATTACAAATGCATATTGAATAAAAAATACTCTTGAAAATACTCACATTGACTGTATTGGAATTTCACTAAAATTCCAACCAATCTAAAGGCTACTAAGACAGAGAAAAGACTACTTTGTCTAAGTATTTTTCCTATGCTTGAAAAAACTTACCAAACTTAACAAAACTTAACAAAAGGCAGAGCTACCGTTTTTTCATTCCCCCCAGCCTTCACTAGTGATGGTTGCAAGGAAAAAAAAGCTCTGTTTGTGGTAAATTTTGTGTAGTATTCTCTCTGATAAGGAGAACATTTTAGAATATCCTTAAATTATTCTGTGAAGATGTAAATGAAAGCCAGGAATGATGGTACATCCAAATTTACATCAACAATATGTTCATGTTTTGAAAATAATTGAAAAAAAATAAAATCCTACAAATATTTTTGACTGTGTCCAGAAAATTACAATTCATGTAGGCACTTGTGTATTCAATGTTTTTTTCACTTTTGTGAGAAAATCTGAATTGGAAAATAAATTATTTTCCCGAAAAATAGTGTGAATAAATTTACTGATTTTTGCCATCTGTTATCCAGAAATAACAGCTCTGCAAAATATATTATGCAGGGTAGAGATTAATAAAATATGCAAGCTACACAGAGTATTTTAAATCAAGAAATATGGAATGTATATGTCTTGTTGCCTGGGACACAACACATGTTTTAGACTCTGCATCACTGATTATTTCTAAAGCAAACATTTTGGGTCTTGAATAATTTAGATAAAATTTGCCAATGTATGCGCAGGGTGACATTAAATAAACAAGATTGATAGAGTCCACTTAATGAAGTTTCATTTTTGTGTGTACAGTCTTAATGAATTTGGTTAATAAAGCATAGCAGATATTAGAATACAAAAATCTAATAAAATGGAATAATAAATACTGAAAATCATTGCTGCACAGCTGTTGAAATTACCAATCAACACACACAAGTCTCCTATATTTTTTCTCTGTCTGAAAAGTTTGTAATGTACTCTCCTGGGAGTGCAAAGCCGTTGAAATATTGCTATTTACGGAAAAAGCGTAATAAGAAATTTGATTACCAATTCAAACCAGCAGAAGGTATTGTTTATAGACAACCCTAACAATCTTAGAGTCATTGTTCAAGCGCGTGGGTAAGAAAAATGTGGAAAGGCACATTCTTGTATTATAGCAAATGATGGATACATTTGGAGTTAGTTAATTTGTTTTTAATTATTTATTTATTTATTTTTATTGCACCCTTAATGACCAGTGATAAAATAATTTCATCATAAAAAAAGTCTAGAAAGAGGGAAGCAGAGCATGACTGCCGAGCCAGCTAGACTCATCTAGGCTGAGTCCCGTGACCACAAGCTTCATTTTAATCGTTATACATGTCAATTCTTGCCTTTTCTCAAACGAACACTGGCTATATACTCTTGAAGTAGAGGAGAGTCTCTCAAACAATGCTCTGGTACCGACGCACCACATATACCCTCTACTCGTACCTTCAGAGGGCCCCTATTTATCAAATTTTCTGATAACAAGTACTGCCCCTGGTTCGAGTTGAGAATGGTTTGTATCGCGGATCAGGGCTGGTGGAGTGCAGTTAAGTGGAATTTCAGTGCACTTCTCCACCAGGTCATTGCACATTATGTGATGGATATTGTCTAAATCTGCTGATAGCTTTTTATTATGTTTTCGGGTTTTCATTTTGGTTTTGCTGCTTGTGATATTGTTCTAGAGTCCCAGTGGCTTCACTTTATGTTAAGCATTGTGTCTCATATGTTATTTTCTATAAGTGCATCTCTGTGCCTCTTGTATATTACTTTATAAAAAGTACTGTGCTCTCAATGTTTCGTGCAACATCCTGTCCTGTCTCATCTTGGCTGAAATGTTTCTACACGCTTTTATTTTTCTCTACACACCAAACAAAAAGAATGAATGTCAAAAGAAAAAAAATTGTAAAAAAAAAAAAAAGTAAATGAAGATCCAATTTAAACATTGAATGGCCACTGATCTTTAACCTTTCTTAGTGAATAACCCTTTATTGAATGTCCTCTAGAATGTCCTCTAGTCATCAATTTTATTTTTTTCCATCAATCATCTAATTTGTTTTGGTGCCATGAATCACAAATCAAAATGAATATGCTCAGCCACTCCATGTTTTGTTTATTTCATGACTGGAGTTACTAATGCACAGTAGAGACAAAATGTATAAATGTAGCCTATACAAACTTGAAATTCCCTACTTATTTACCTTTCAGTTTTGTAGAGCTATGCGTGTGTGAAATGGGCAGGACATTCCATATCAGTGTTACATGGACCATTTTGTGACAATGGCATGGCTTCCATTGTTATCAGCACAATCCTTTTTTTTAACCCTAAGAAAACAGGGAATTTGGAATGTTAATGAAACACGATTTTTGGATTCTTGCGTATATTTAAAAATCTAAAGACTATATTGATGAATAGGCTCATTTCTTTAAAAAGGATAATATAAAACAAACTGATGCCAATGGTATAATGAAATTAAAAGTCATACACGAATGTCTCCTTTTGCATCCAACAGAGAAATGAGATAGTCAACGATGATTTATTTAATCAGAAGCTAAAGTTTATTGCATGCCAAGTTGTGATAATTCTTGATAAAAATATATATCTAAAAGCATTTTGAATCCATGATTATATTTTAATTCTGTAACTAAATAAAAATGCAAAATATGTGAATAAATGTTGTCATCTAGTATATTTGAAATTTACTAAAACATTATTTTAAATTTTTTATGTTGTAATTTTGTGTATATATTTAACTTGGCATTCAAGGACAACAGATGTACATCGATTTACCACAAAAAGGGTGTCATTGAATCATTTTATCTAGATTTCAATATCCATCCAGCTGAGTTCATTACTCATAACAAGGAATAAAATAATCTTGTGTGATAATACTAATTATTATCAATATGTTCTGCATAACTGTTATAAACTGTGTCATGTAAAAAATAATTGAGTAGTTTATAGGACAAGTAAGTTAATATTTATTTAATTGTAAATCAGGCTGTCTAGCTTATTTCTGATATTTCTTCAGCAAATATCACACAAATATTGGTACATTACTATTATATATAGCAGTGTTGGAAGGGCGCCAGTATTTTGACACCCTTTTTCACCACTATCACTATATACTATGCGCTTCCAGTCTATAGGAGGTGGGGTGTAAAACACAATAGGACAGGAGATAACAATCAAATAAGGTGGTAGTGAAGCAGAGCTGGAGGAGAGAGTAAAGTGCTGCCCTTTAGGAGAGAGCAAGAGATAGGTATGTGTGGTAAAGGTTACTCTGGGAGGCCATAAGCTTTCCTAAAGAGATGGGTTTTAAGGCACTTCTTGAACGATTGAAGACTAGGGGAGAGTCTGAAGGCAGTAGGCAAGCTATTCCATAGGAAGGGAGCTGCCCGCTGGACGTCCAGCAAACGTGAGTTGGTTGTACAGGTGCGAACAGCGGACAATAGAAGGTCATGGGCAGAGTGGAGAGAGCGAGAAGGGGCATACCTATGGGTCTGTGAAGAGATATAAGAGGGGCTAGAATTGTTCAATGCTTTATAGGTATGGGTTAGTACTTTGATTTGACTCCTATAGGATACAGGAAGCCAATGTGAGGACTGGCAGAGGGGTGAGGTGTGAGAGGACCGACTGGAGAGGAAAATCAGTCTGGCGGCAGCATTCATTACAGACTGTAGCAGGGCAATACGGCTATTGGGAAGACCAATCAGGAGAGGGTTACAATAATCCATGCAAGAAATTAATAGAGCATGGACAAGCTCCTTAGTAGCATCTTGCGTAAGAAAGGGGCGGATACGGGCTATCTTTTTAAGATTCAATGTACAGGATTTGGTAACATACTGGATGTGAGGCTCAAAGGTTAGGCCAGAGTCAAGAAGAACGCCAAAATAGCACGCTTGCAAGGATGGACTGATGTGGGCACCACTAACTTGAAGGGAGAGCGAAAGAGGAGGATCAGTATTAGGAGGAGAAACGACAAGGAGCTCAGTTTTAGAGAGATTGAGTTTCAGAAAGCGGGAGGACATCCAGTTAGAGATTGAAGAAATGAAGCAGTGACACGTTGCAGGACGGCAGGGGAGAGGTCCAGGAGGAGAGGTATATCTGGGTGTCATCAGCGTACAGGTGGTAGTGGAAACCAAATGAGGTAATACGTTTGCAAAGAGAGGCAGTACAAAGAGAAAATAGTGGTAAGTATATACAGAAACAAATTTTCTGTTCATCAACATTCTATTACATGCCATTCTTTCATGAAGAGAACTGATAAAGAAAAGTACTTTGCTACTTTAAAAATATCACAGATAGAGAAATGTAAAAAATTCTGTCCACGCCAACCTCCTATGTCCACCCCCTTTGGCATTAATAAAATTAAAGTTAAAATGAAATTAAATGATTAGTCCCCTGCTTTCCAGCGCTGGGACTCCTATGCTGCAGCCTCCAGCTCCACTAACGGTGATGTCCCCATCCATTATGAAATTACCCATGTTATGCTGCAATCCATTGAGCCTCATCAATGGATTAGAATTAGGAATGCAAACTGCCAACCTCCTCCAAACAGCAGCATTTTTTGAATTTGATTCCAGGACAGAGTTACACTCAGTTCTGTAAGAGGAAGCATCTCTGTCAGGGAGACATGCAGGGCTCGAGTCCAAAGCAGGAACGCCGTTCCCATTACCTGTCCTGCAGGACCGGCCCTGCTACCTGCACAGAGGGGCCAGCACACGCTGTGTTCCCTCTCCAGCTATAACTCTCGCGAGAGTTATAGCTGGAGAGGGAACACAGCGTGTGATGGCTCCTCTGTGCAGCGGCTGGTTCCCTCCAGCATACCACTGGACCACCAGGCGATCTCCCCCCTCCCTGACAAGGTAAGAAGCAGGGAGAGGGGAATAAAATAAAAAATATATACATACACATAAAGATAAAAATGCTCGCTCCCCCACACATCATCCAGCACACACACACCCATCATCCAGCACTCACACACCCATCATCCAGCACTCACACACCCATCATCCAGCACTCACACACACATCATCCAGCACTCACACACCCATCATCCAGCACCTCACACACACATCATCCAGCACCTCACACACACACATCCAGCACACAACACACACACACACCATCCACACCTCCTCACACACCACATCATCCATCCAGCACACTCACACACCCATCATCCAGCACACCACAGCACACACACACACCCATCCAGCACACATCATCCAGCACACAACATCAATAATCATCCAGCACCCACACACCACCACACCCATCCAGCACCAATAATAATCATCCAGAAATCAGAGCAGCACACACCATCCAGCACACACACACACCATCCAGCACACACACTCTTCATCCAGCACTCACACACAGCACACACACACATCACCCAGCACACACACACACACATCATCCAGCACACACACACACATCATCCAGCACACACACACACGTCATCCAGCACGCACACACACGTCATCCAGCGCGCACACACACATCATCCAGCACACACTGCATTCATTATACACACTCTTCACTCACTACAAACACACTACACTCACTATACACTCACTACAAACACACTACATTCACTATACACCCTCTGCATTCACTATACACCCTCTGCATTCATTATACACATTCTGCACTCACTACACACTACATTCACTATACACACTCTGCATTCACTACAAACACACTACATACACTGCATTCATTGTACACACTCTGCACTCACTACAAACACACTAAATTCATTATACACAATTTGCACTTACTACAAACACACTATATTCATTATACACACTCTGCACTCACTACAAACACACTACATTGACTATACACACTCTGCATTCATTATACACACTGCACTCACTACAAAAACACTACATTCACTATACACACTGCATTCACTATACACACTGCACTCACTACAAACTCACTACATTTATTATACACACTGCACTCACTACAAATACACTAAATTTTTTATACACACTGCACTCACTACAAATACACTACATTTTTTATACACACTGCACTCACTACAAATACACTACATTCATTATACACACTCTGCACTCACTAAAAACACACTGCATTCATTATACACAGTCTGCACTCACTACAAATACACTACAATTATTATTCACACTGCACTCACTACAAACACACAACATTTATTATTCATACTCTGCATTTACTACAAACACACTACATTCATTATACACACCCTGCACTGCACTATATGCATAGGAGTGTAATTTAAAAAAAATCATCTTGGGTGAGTTCCCACACTTTTTTCCCCAGGACTTGACCCCTGGAGACATGTTTTACATTGCAGAGTTAAAGAGACAGGACCACAGCAACCAGATCACTTGCTTGAGATGAACTGGTCTGGGTAAGTTTAGTGGTCCTTTAAGTGTGATTGCAGATAATCAGCGAAATTCGCTAAGTTGTAAATTGTTGGGACGTAAAAGTGAATTTAATCTTTTAGGTCAATAAAGCCAAACTAAAAATGAGGGGTCTAAAATGTTAAATTGTCTTCGATTTCTTGACATTTCATGCTTTAGTGAATGTGTTTGTTGTAAAAGGCATTTATTAAAGAACCAGCGTTAGATGTTTTAAGTGCCCATGTTTTATCTTTATTATTATTTTCAACCTACCGTCCACATGCTTTCCACAACTAAGTAGGGATGCCAGATGGAAGTCCTTGAGGCTCTCAAATGAAATAAAAAAGTTGTCCTTTCAAACAATTAAAAACAAAAACAGATGTCCTTTTGACTTGATATATGTTTAGACGATTGACTATATTCTTTCCATTTCAAACAGATGACTCTAACACTTTTAGCTCATGCCAAAAAAAACTGTGTAATGGAAGAAATGCTTTTGAGTCACCCCATTTGCAATGTCCATAATCTGAATTTAAGAGGAAGACCTCTCTCGCAAAAGACTTGACAAAGGCAGTTGTTGCATGTGACAGACCGCTGGCACTCTGACTGAGCTCCTCTGCCAATCGATGCTCCTAGCGCTTGCTGAGGACTCCGAGCACTCCAACCGACACCATCAGCACTGTGGACCCCACTTCCAGCGATGCAGCTGCGCCTGGGTCTCGCCGTCTCTCACCCACCCTGGATCCATGACCAGGATCCAGCTCCCAGTGGGTGAACCTCTCCTAAATCCAGAGAGCGTAGCAGGAACAAATCAAGCTCTTACAAGAGCTTACTCTGGGGAGTAAGTGATTATAGCAATCCCCAGAGTGTAGGTATCCCTTCCCCCAAGCATGAGTCAAGGCTTCAAGAAAGGTGCAAGTAGGTCTGGTTTATTGAGGGCTACCTGCCCAGTATTTATGCAAGTGTCCACCAGATGGACACTCCCCTAGGGGACCTGATGAAACAATGGGACACATATTGGATATTAGCCAATCACAGACAATACAAACAAAACACTCCCACAGTGACATCACAATCCCTCCTCTCTATCCTGGAGATAATTGGGAAGTAATCAAATTATCTCCCAGGACAGAGGCAAGACTCCATTAACCACATGGTTACAAAAAGACATAAAATTACACATTGTTACAATTACTACATAAAACATATACATGCAACATAACCCCAGATAGCTTAGATCTGATCGCACATTATTACCAAATGGCGCTCAGATCACATACATACAGTTCAATCGCCATGGAGCCAAAGTCTTTTCCATAGTCTTTCGTTACACAAATAGGCAGCATGGCATAGCTATCTGGGGTAGCACTACTCACATACTGAAAGTCCCGAACGCCCTGGCAGAAATACACAAATAAACCTTTCTGCAGGGTAAAATACAGCTATCAGCACAGGGGCCATAGTCGGAAGGCAGGAGGCTAGCCAGTAGTCCCCTATAGGCACAAGTGGCGAAGGGCACTTCGTCACATTGCAACCAAAGCATTGCATTTATATCCCTCAATAAACAACCATTTGGTGAACTTGGCCTGACGGTTCCTTCCTTTTACGTGATTACCATTTCTCTAGGACAGGGGTAGGCAACCTTTGGCAATCCAGATGTTCTGGACTACATCCCCCATAATCTGGACTACATCCCCCTGGCAAAGCATCATGGGAGGTGTAGTCCAAAACATCTGGAGTGCCGAAGGTTGCCTATGCCTGCTCTAGGACACTGAGCACTCTGTTCCAGAATTTAATTGGTAAATAGATATAACCAGTTTCTCTGTACATAAAACAACCACACGTGCTTGTTTTTAGCTTAAAAATACATGGAAACTATGAATAGCGCCCATTAATATGCATGCCGAAAGTTTTGCAAGTCAATATTGACACTATTGTGTATATTACACACTCATGTAACATTCAATTGTGTGGAGAAATGAATAGGTATATTAGACGTCCTCTTATAGAATGAAAATATAGACAGGAGATCTCATGAAAAGGCTCAGTCTCTACCTGCACATTAAATGTTTTTACTATGGGAATGACTGGGTCTGGGTGGCTAAATTTTAGAGGGATGTCTCAAGGAGAGGAGAGAGAACTGTTGGCAGAAAAGTACTCTAGTAGTGTACACATCCCAAGATTACGTGCAGTCACCTACACGAATAGATCTTGTTGTATAAAATGAATTGTAATATTTTTTTCCTCTATATGGGATTTTCAAGGAATTGCGCAACATAATGAATGTTAATTTATGTTAATGAATGACTAAACAAGCACTTATAGGAAAGAATAATTATCTTATGATAAAGTCATTCTTTGTTTTAATTGCATTTACCAAAGCATCACTTCAGGCAGTTGTTCGTTACTTAAAAGGCACTTTTAAATGGAATTTTTAACTTCAACATCCTGCTTAAATTAGAACAGTATTATTAAGTGAAGTTAAAAGAACAATTTATCTTACACATAAATCTCTTTGCTACAAACATTCATGGGATTCAGTGTATAGTATATTTACATGCTGTATTCATCAATCTAGTCTTGCCCCTTGTTTCTTGAACAAATCTTATAACCAAACGTTTCCTTAAATATAAATGTATAACTGTAAAATGCATTTGATTAAAACATTTGGCTGCTAGTTAATGAATAGTGCCAATCAATTCAAACCATTTATTTAAAATCTAACATAGGCACTGTAACAGCTTCATCTCATTAAAGAGTTTATAGTGTCTGAAGTTCCCTGGCACAGGGCTTCCATTCGGCATTAAAATATTTTTAAAGAGACACTATATGCACCAAATCAACTTTAGCCTAATAAAGCAATTTTGCTGTATACATCATGTTTCTGCAGTCTCGCTGCTAAATTTGCTGCCATTTATGAGTTTGTTTATACTGCCCTATCCACACCTCCCTGCATGTGACTTGAATAGCCTTCCTAAAGACTTCCTGTAAAGAGAGATCTAATGTTTACACTACATTTATTGTAGTCTGTTTAATTTAGAATTTCTTATCTCCTGCTCTGTTAATAGCATTCTAGCCAATGCAAGAGCCTCCTGTGTGTGATTAAAGTTCAATTTACAAAACAAGAGATAAAAACTTCTAAGCAAGTTAACATCTGATAGAAAATTAAAACATTTTTTTCTTATAGGTGGAGTGAATCACAGCCAGGGGAGGTGTGGCTAGGATTGAATAAACAGAAAGAAAACTGATTTAATATACTATATATATCAAAGCCACTTCATTAAGCGAAAGTTGATTTGGTGCCTATAGTGTCACTTTAATGGAACAAAAACGTTCTTTTATTATTTTAGCAATTTAGTATATATAGCATGGCAGCCCCCCTGCTGGTGAAAAAAGTAAAAAAA